CTGAGTAGAATAGCTTCCACTCACAGATGTTTAGGAATTCAGAGCTTTGGTCTTCGTTGACGAGAGTCCAACAGTGTCGAGTTCGTACTTTATGACATCATCAACTAACTCTTGTTCTTTACCTCTGAGTGAAGATATATTGCAAATTCCGACTTTTAGCTCATACTGGCTGTGTCGTTTTCGTTATACCTTTTCTGACGTGCTTTAATGGCATCGCGCTGTCTGCCTCCTCCTTTCAGAACGGGTAGCGACTCTTGCTGACTGGTATTCGTCGTCGTGTTCCGACAGTATTCGTCAGTCATTGTTGTTCTGCTACGCTCCCAGCTGGCAGAGGGCGATGAGCAGGTTCTGATCGCCGACTTTTCGCATTCTGCCTCAGTCCCTCAGCAGCGTCTGCGGCTTTGGGTTACCCGGGAGACCGCGGAGCCGGTATAATGTTCGATGGCGTCAATACGATTAGTTGTTGCAGGCTAGTCACGACTGTGAGATGCGTAATCAATGCAGTCCTTGTTTTCGATTCGATTGTGGGTGTGCAATCGTCCGTGCAGTTTAATTTCTATTAAATATAATTAAAAATAGGTGCAATGTGCAATTTACTACCACCAGACTTCTTGCTTTTAGGCAGGTATCAAAGAATCTGAATATCTCTGTAATTAAGCAATGAATATATAATAGTGAGGAAAACAGCAGAATGAGTGAAAGAATAGAAAAATCATTGACAAGAAAGCTATAGTCAATTAATTGCTGAAAGACAGTGCCTCAAAGGAATCAGAGCTGCTCTTGCACAAATGATCTTTGACATCATGTAGAACCTGCAATGCCAATTGGGACGTCATGCGACTCAGCCAGTATGCATAAAATCATGCATCGTTGAATAAGCTATTTATTAGATAAAAATTGAAAGTAGTGTCGCATTCCGCTTGAAATATTTTGTAAAAGACTCCAACCAGTTTGACAAGTTCTCTGATCTCTTCCAAAAAAATTGTCAGGCCATCGTTATGTTATTACTGTTAGGAGATAACCGATATGTTACACGTGTTGAGACATTTAGTTTCTTTTGTCCATTGTTCAATTTAACTGGCAAACAATATGTATACTTTGCATCCTCTCGCTATAATACGGTTTAGCTCCTTTGGCATAAAATATTGAGTGTACTCTGGGCTACTGTTCTCATGGACAGTTTTCTCGGTAACTGAAAGTTCAGAGCGGTTGAAAAGTCGTCCCAAGTTTTCTTAATAATTCTTCCTCGGTGATCCCCAATAACGCAGGAAAATGATAGTGCCTCAACAATTGGGCTTGACCATAATGTTTTTTGCTTATTCAATGATACAATCAATAAAAAGTTCACTGTTTTTGTTGAGCAGTATATCGCCTGTGATTGTACGTCAACATGTACGGATCAGAATTGGTTTATTTGGCTTCAGTTATATAGATTTTGATCAAAGTTTGAAATTCTTTGAACAGTGTGGAATTAAAATTTATCTTGACACTTAGCATAATCTTTCGATGGATATAGACATTTGAAGTTACCCTGTACCCCGTAGGAGAAAAGTGCATTGACCCAGCGGTGTTGATTAAGCGTTACGCTTAGACCTAAATAAACCACTAATATTTCAAAGTCTAATTTTTATCTATGCTTTTCACTGAGTTATTCCTTTAGTCCATGACAAATTTGAGCGCGTTCATTGTGAGTTAAGCACTTTGTATGAAGTTATGTTTTAAAGGCTAAAGCTTATAACTTTATTCTAACCTGAGCATCTGACACAGAACCCCATTCGATTCAAAACCCGAGGATGATGGGTGAATCAGTGTTGACGTTCATGGTTTTGCAGTTTTCCTCTTAGTTATTTAATGAAGTTTTCTTCTTATAATTTTTACCACTATATAAGTTTAAGTCATGAAGAATAATTGGTAATGTATTATGCTAATCGGTTTAATGCTGCTGTCTTTTAAATATCTCGAAATTATATACTCTTCCGTCTGTGCTACTCCTTTATGACCAAAGTCGAGTAAAGCTGTGGCTTTAAATGATAACTTAACCTCGGAGTCGACAGTCGTTGCTTTTAGAATAAAGTTAAGGTATAGTCATAGCTTTTGACATTTCTGTAGAGAGGTTTGCTCAAAAGCGGCGTTTCTTGCCAGAAAGCACTGGAAACTATTATTTGCGATCGTGCCAAAATACTGTATAGTCATGACATTCATAAGCGGTACCGTAGACTACTAGGAGCAGTAAGCTAGAGTGAATTCGCTATCCGAATTCGGAGAAGTAACAAGATGTCATTATTAGTAATTATTAGAAAGAGTTATTAAGAAAATATGTCCGACAATCGAATTATATTCCAGATGCAAGTTACATAATCCGTGATGCACATGCGATGCCCAGAAGAATTTCTTGATATTGTAACCTTCTCAATAGCGACGAATTAGTTCAGCGGATTGCAGTGTTCGGAGAAGATCCAACATAGCCCGTACATAAATTTTACCTGGTTGTACCTCTAACAGGTGCATGAATTTTATCATACGATTGCTGAGTTTTAGGAGACAGCCATCTTATAACTTCAGGCGCTGTTTAGCTACAGACGGCAGAAAGAATTCGGGATTTGATTGAAAACGATTGAAGGGTACCTTTTGAAGTACTGACTTTGTCAGACGTTCGCTTGGGCGTTGCTTATTGTTATGCTTGTTGAGATCGTCACCTTTACCCATGAGCAGAACGTGTCTGGTGCGTGATGTTTGCTATTTCTGCAGCGTTCAACACCACTTTTGTCATAAGGCACTGGTTACCGCATCGCAGATGAAAATACTGCTGTTCCAAAGCAGATCTGTCTTTACCTTGTCCCTCCATAATGCACCCTGGCCTCTTTGTTGACGTCGGCCTTGTTTCGGCTCCCATTCGAGAATCTCATGAGCGGGAGCAAATGGTGTATGATCAGCCTGTTTACTAAACAGGCCAAATTTCCTTTTCGTAATCTCAGCATCTACCGACGTCACGTATGCCTGGACAAGAAAAAATCCATTCAGAACCGTTACATGGTTCTGCCATTTAGCCCTTATTATGCGTCGAAATCAACGCTATTGTACCTTCGTCAGCAGTCGTTTCTGCTCGATCGTCAGAACAGTTGTCTCCATTCCATAAACAGTACTACCCTGACAGACACAGGCGGATTTTCATGGACGAATAACTCTCAGTCCAAACTCTCAGTAACAATTCTCAGTCCAAACATTCGACGGCTTCCCAAAGACATTTGATTCAAAGGCTGACTTTCTGTTTAACCCTGGATGGAGAATGTTATTACTAGAAATCATGAAGCCGACTTACTTAAATTGATCGACCGTATCAAGTGCTTCATTTACCTGTTCTACTTGTAGGTCTACTACGCCGCATCAGTTTCTTATAACTTTTGACTTCCGGGCATTAAGGAAGAGGTTTCTTTTGCATCTGCTGCACGGAAGCCGTCATGTGACAGAGACCCAATCTCGTACTACTTGCAAGAACAATATCGTCTGCATATGACCGATCAGCAAGATATCTAGTCGGATATTTTGTACAGCTCCTTTCCGCTGGATTGCGACGTGCGTGGAGAATGACCGCCCCGCCCGACTTGCCATAGTGAACAAGAATATACCTAAACCAATACGGGGTAATCTACTCTGCCTGACAAGATGATCATCCATCCTGCAGATTCAGCGTTCCCTTCACCTGGAGGCGATCTTCCGTGACCGTTAATACGTAGAGTTTATACCGACGTACCTTACATCAAATATAATCTAACTTACTTTCGTCAGATAAGTAACGAACGTTCTTGTAGTATTTTATGTTGGAATCACGAAGTTCTCGGTTGGTAGTTAATTGGTAGGTTGTGTGTGAGAACCACTCGCTTCGCAGTTCATTCTCGTTAAAAATTAACCTGCGGATGGAAATGGGCAAAAAAGTGCATAGACAAAAGTTGCCTGAAAATGCAACGTTAGGAGACCTCGTTAAGAATGGCATCGTATACTGTTGTATATTATAATTTCTACGGTATTTAAAAATAACGACTTTGTACATAGTTATTGGGATGATCATCGTCTAACAGTAACAGTAGATTTTACAGAATCAATTATGTCTGATCCATTTGGCCTTTCTTCTCAGCTTTACATCAAACATTGTTTACCGCTGTTCGAAAAGTCCTTGTCTGCAAAATGTCTGATTCAGCGAAGTGTTTCTAGATTTTATTGTTCTACGTTGCGTCAGCGCCCAACAGATAAGTGCAGTTGAATACAAGTTATGAACAGAGTAGCAATCTATCGTGGCGAAGGGAGTGTTGTTCTTATGTAGGCTAGCACAAATGGCTGTAAGTCTTAAACTCTAGATGATTAGCGAATTTGTATGATATTTGCCGTTTTTACAGAAGTGGTAATCTTGAGAAGTTGTACATGTGACCAACAAGTGGACGAATCTTTTCAGATGTTCACTGCTATGAGATTTCATGTTTGATTTGAATATTCTGACAATACGATTTTGTGCTGATGTCAGTTATTTTCCCAAACGAATAAACTTCTTTTTAATGACCGTAGTGAAACATTGATTCGAATTTTATGGCCCAGAATAAGGCCGGATATTCGGAATGTATTCGCAGAATTTGGGCAGTGGGACAACTTTCAGACATGGCATAAGATCTGTCGGACAACAACCAAGATTATGCGATATTAATGCAATGCTGCGAAAATGCGAGAGTTCTATTTGTGATTAGATTGACTAAAAAATGCTACAAAGCCATGTCAAACTTCAGTGACGTGGCGAATATGCGGAACCATTAAATGAACATGTTCCTGAATGTAGAAAAATGACTTCTTTGCTTAAATATTGTTAGTGATATAATCAAATTATTAATCTGTTGTTTTATTTTAATTTGCGATTTCAGTTTTTAATTTACACTAAAAAGCATGTTTTTTCTGTTGACGCTAAGCGTTTATTTTACGATCACTTGATAAATTTGTGACTTTTATAGAATTGCATCATGGCGCTTGAGAACGGTTGTCAGAAGGGCAATGAACGGAGCATTTCGCATCTCTACTATGAAGCATATGTCTGTGTGGACAAAGGGATTCATTTCGACCAGATGGGCAACTCGGACGCGGCCATTGCCATGTACCGGTGCGGTTTGGAGATAATCGACACTGCCGGTACCTTACCAGACGTTGCTACCAACGAACTCTATGTAAAGATGCTCAAAGCTCGATCGGCGATAGAGGAACGTCTCAAATTTCTGGAGCACAGTGGAGGCGACCAGGCTACCAGTCCTCCGTCTGATATCGGTGCTGTTTTCGATGGTTCCCCACCTTCTGGTATTGAGCCGCCATGCGATTCGATGCCGCGGGACGAGAACGCGCAATTGCTGTTCGAAATCCCTGATGGAGTACAAATCTTCTTTATTACTGATACCGAGACGTCTGTTCCTTCTTATCCCTCTGGTCTGAAGATATTCAGGTACAACGGTCTTTGCCTGTATTAAGACTACAGGCCGGTATATATTGGCTTTATATGTATACCCATATGTATATTAACTATATATGTATATAACTTTCATTTGCAAGGGAATTATACAGATTCGTTGTAGGCGCCCTTTCGCAAATGTTTCAGTTTACCAAACACGCGTTTAAGGTTGAGACTCTAAACCTTTAGTTCAAACATGCAGGTGTGTCCTTCAGTTCATAATGATGGCGACTCCTATAAGAGATTTGCATAGTGGGTAGAACGTCGGATAGCTTACCAGTCGATTGCGGGTTCGAGTCCTTTATCGATCACTCGTCTTTTTTTCATTCCGATTTTTATTAGTAAGTATTATTTTGTGGAAGAAAGAGGGCTACAGGCTGAGCTTGCCGCATTGCTGTCTATACTGCCTTCATTTTCTTCTCCCATGACCGCTTTTCCTTTCGGGTAGCGGAGTATATTCCGCCTGTTTAAAATCAAAAGCACTCGTAGCTGACCGTATATAAATGGACATAGTTCTATATCATATGGTCACGAAATGACTTCCACTACATAAAACTGTAAAGGAGGCTGGTATCCTGACGGTTTAAAATTTTAAATTTTTATTTCTTATTCGTCTCCTGTTCTCCACCGCTTAAGATGATGGCGACTTTCGTTTATTAGTTTTACTTGTTTTATTTTTCTGGTCATCTAGGTTGTACGAAGACTGATATTTTTTTCACGGTCATTTTCTTTCCACTGTCATGGTCATCTGTAGCTTAACAGACTTCAAAATGATATGTCATTTTTTTTGTTTGTTGTTTTTTTTCTCTGTTATAATGTTTTTGCTGCTTTCAAAATACGCAGACTGCTCCAGATTCATGCTGTTTGCTCATCTCAATATTTTACGTTTTAATATTGAGAGAATAATGTAGAGCCACGGGAATACCTAATGTGGGATGCATAACTCCTTCAATACCCGATTTCATCGTGTTTTACACCATCCCCTTGCTCCTAGTTGCCCGGGAAGGGGGCATTTATAAGGAGTTTGCTACTATGATATTTAAGCGCATGTGGTGCCAGATGCATCTCGCAGCACCTTTTTCGTTAGAGCCATCTTGTACTCATCACGAGCGATGTTTCTGAAGTTGGTACTCTTTATATGCTACCGCATAAGCACCAATATGTTTGTACGCTTGAGTACGTTAAGTAGCGCATAAATCTCCTAAGACCAGATTTCACGGCTTCTCTAGGTAGATTACTGTGATTCTTTATTTTTATAATGTTTTCGTATGCCTTTGCGACTGTTGACATTTTCATAGTCTATCAAGACGTGTCCTTAAATTTGTATGCTTCTGTTCCGCTTGTCCCGTCTTTTGGTAAGGCGTTAATCCTTGATCTCTAATGATTTTTTTGGTGTTGTGTCTTTGGGCTGAACAACATGCTCTTAAAGGTGCTCTCGAAATCTTCATTCAGGGGTTTTGTTATGAACTCACTGACGGTTTAATTGCATTCTGTGAAACCTAGGTTAATTCGCTAGGCCCTCGCCATCAACATATAATACCAAAGTCGCAGAATTCATGAAATCTTGGGTATGGAAATATAATCACCCGTAACGTTTTGACTAACGTTCATTCCTTAAACGTCAGATAGCTCCATGGCTTGATGTAAATATGTTTTTTAGTTACGTGAACCCGACTCCTATTATGATAAGCCCACAAATTGAATTGCATGCTACTGGCTTTATGCAGATCGACACTTGGGTATATCCGTTTATTGTTGGTCATTCTCCGGTTCTTGAAACAACCTATGGAGCGTACATCTTCCCTTACTGTAACAATGAAGTGTCAGGTGAAGTGTCGGATTGCTTGACTTAGACGAAGCTCCGGTTTTAAGGTTGTCTCTTTTAGAAGTGAAAGTTGGCGTACTTCTCCCTGGCGATCTGAATAAAGACGTGCTCGCAACATTTGAAGATATTTTGCAAGGCTTTACATGCTTACGTCATCAGACAGTTCGTCCAACTCTGACTAAAGAGGAGGAAGAACGGTTCAGCTCTAAACTGGCGAAGATGCTGGTAAAAGGTCGTGTGATAGTAAATGCGATCTGTTCTGTTTTTAGCAGTATGGCTTTCAGGGGGCAGCACAGTGGCCAGCGGCATCCGGAGTTGCGCGGAAGTCACGTCGGGAATGATTGCCAAAGGTGCTGACCACCTACAAGATACAGTGGGCACTCAGGAAACACCCATTGTCGTTGACCC